TAGAAAAGAAAACGCTTTCTTAAAGCTTATAGAAAAAGAATAGCACAACAAACTTAAAGACAGTAGAAGTAAGGGAATAATGAAGACGAGCAGAAATTAATGAATAGAAAATAATCCTACCATAAAAAACAACAAAGCTAAAAAAAAGTGTTATATTAGTGTAATTGATAATAAACTAGCAATACTGATTAAAAGGGAAGGAGAAGGGAAGAAACCGGGGGAGAGAGTAAAATTTCCAAATATTAGGAATGAAAAAGGATACATGTCTATAGATTCTGTAGTCATTAATTAATGCAAGGAATTTATGAACAATTTTATATCAGTAATATGGGATAGGGAGAGTAAAGCAGGAGTATTGAGTAGTCAAGTCTTAACYAATCAATAGTAAGAGACACTGTCCTTAAAGTTTGTTGAGTCCTTTGAAAGGTGGCTACTGTGAGTTGAGTTGTCTTATAGGTGGTAAGTACTGAGCAGATTTTAAATTTGTAGATAATTTAGCCGAAAACGGGGTTAGAGCTAGTGCATCATTTTGATCCTGTCTAATGTCAGGTGCAACTGGCCTTGTTAACTTTGTAAGGACCTTAAGCTTTCATGGTGGTTATTTTTAGGTCTCTACATTATCTACATGTGCAGTGCAGAATATATCGTGATTAAGAACTTATTCCTCTGACATCATACTGTTTGATTCAAATCCTAGCATTGGTACTGAAGAGTTGTGTGATCCTGATGTGTTAGCCAAATTGTCCCTTGAACTTCTGACACCTTTGTTTCTCTCTGATCACTTACAGCTTCTGCCATCTGGTCTATAACTCCTTCATACATATTATTTTTTCCTGAGTGTAACTTTCCCTGAACACTCTCTCTGTGTTACCACTTAGCTGTTAGATCTTGAGATCTTTGTTTCTACTTGCTTATTGGGCATAACTATCAGGAAGTTTCATTGGTACACCAAACTTAGTTTAACTAAAATTAAATTTAATGTTCTAGCATTTGTATTTTGTTCAGTTGTATTTTCTTTTTTTWAAAAAATTTATTTCTTGGTTTTAGGTTGACTCGATATCTATATTTATGTGGTGCTGAGGATCGAACCCAGCGCCTCATGCATACTAGGTGGGCACTCTACCTCTGAGCCACAACCCGAGTCCCTCAGTTGTATTTTCATTTAACCTTTTGTTCAAGCAAGAATCTGCAGTTTTTAACTTTTTCTTCCACATTAGGTAAATTTTATTTTCCCAGTATCTGTTCTTTCCTTTTGTTTATTATCATTCTCTGAAGGTTGATCTCTTCTGCCCTTCCTCCCCCATCCTTGCTGGGCCAGTTTTTTGCCATAAAGGACTTCTCTTCCTTGCATTCTTCCCAGCCCATAGCACAAAAGTATAGGTAAAAAACACAGAGCAGATTTGGGAACAAATAGGTAAATACAGGTATAATAAATGTGCAAAATAAAAATTGTTGAGTTTAAAAAGGAATGAATAAATGGCAAGCAGACTTAAAGGAAGCTCAGGTGTTTCATCAGTCATCTGGGAAATGTTTTCTGATGCCTGTGGCAAAAGTTAGGTATTTACCAGGTGTGGTGGTTCATGTCTTTTGTTCCAGCAGCTTGGGAGTCTGAGGCAGGAGGACTACTTGGGCCCAGGAGGTTTGAGGCCAGTCTGGGAAATATTGAGATGCTGTTTCAGAAAAGAAACAAAAAGTTGAGTTGTTTCTTTGTGTACCTGTAATTGGCATTACAGTTTCTCTTAGGTTATCATGTGTGCTTTAATCAYGGTAATCTTCTTCACTGTTCTTGACCATCCCCTGCAGAGGGGTTATTATTTATTCCCTGTGGTTTAGTACTTTGTGGGTTTCATTTTGGATTCTGACTCCAACCARTTGTAAAATAAAAGTTTTTGAAACAGGCAAATTTGGGGTTACAGATGATTCCAGGCTATGATAATGATTAGGGAAGAAATTCTTAGTAGATGGGTACTATTTATACAGAGGTAAAATGATGGTATCTRGGATTTGCTTTGTTTAATAAAATTATGATAGAACCACATTTTAACCATTTTAATAAGAGGGAGAAGCAGTGCTGTTTTAAAAAGTAAATAATATTATGTGTAAAAATGATTTCCAACATAGTCTCTTTTTTAAAATAAGTTTTTTAGTTATTGATGGACCTTTATTTTATTTATTCACATGTTCTGAGAATTGAACCCAGTGCCTCACACATGCTAGGCAAGCACTCTACTACTGAGCCACAGCCCCCAGCATAGTCTTTTTAAAGACTTCTACATTATTTTAACTTCCATACATCTTTTTCAGGAATGACATACTCAGTTGAAAAAGTATAGTCCGTGAACCAAGAAAGATGAAGATGGGGTATTAAGAAATAGGAGCTTCGCCAGGTGTCGTGGCGCATGCCTGTAATCCCAGAGGCTGGAGAGGCTTGAGGCAGGAGGATCGAGAATTCACAGCCATCCTCTGCAAAGCAAAAGTGAGGTGCTAAGCAACTCAGTAAGACCCTGTCTCTAAATAAAATACAAAATAGGGCTGGGGATGTGGCTCCATGGTCAAGTGTCCCTGAGTTCAATCACTGCCTCCACTACTCCCCTCCGCCCCTCTTGCGCCCCCCCCCCCCAATAAAAGAAAATAAATAGAAGCTTCAAGACTATTGTGGTGGCCCATGTCTGTAATCCCAGTGGCTTGGGAGGCTGAGGCAGGAGGATCACAGTTCAAAGCCAGCCTCAGCAACTTAGGCCSTAAGCAACTTAATAAGACCCTGTCTCAAAATAAAAAAAATAAATAAAAAGGGCTGGGGAGTGGCTCATAGTTAAGTGCCCTTGTTTTCAATCCCAAAGAAAGAGGGGAGGGGGATTTCAGCCCTGAGAGAGGTGAAGGAAGGTCCTAGAACAACAGTAATACCACAGGTCAGAGGACTGTCAGTTCAGTTTGCAGTGGGAGGATATAGGACTCTAAGTGTGAGGGAGGGCTATGTGAATATAAGAAAGCTAGTCATTTTTGATGCATTATGACTAGAAAATTTGAGGGACCTGAAGAGTGTGGGAAGAATTTGTGGTAGGTGTATAGAAAACAAAATGAGTTAATTATGGAGAAAAAAGTTGTATGATATCTTATCAAGTTACAATATTATATACATGATTATATAATTACATTTGTAAGATAATTGTTTTCATGATAGGAGAAAGGAAAGTGGTATAAGGGAGCTAAGTTATTTTTTATAGGAAAATCACTAGATAATACCTAAACTTGATATTTTAAGACTGTTACTTAAATGTAAATATCAAAAGTAGAGTGAAAGCTGAAAGATTTTAAAGAATTCACTTTGATGTAGAGAGAAACTATATTTGTGATGTCAAACTATATTTGACTTTAATCACTTTGTACATTGTTACTTAGATGAAAATGAAAATATGTTATAAAAAGACTGAGGTACAGGTAGCAAGGATTTTTGCCCATCTTGTAGGCTGTTTGTTCACGCTCTTGATTGTTTCTTTGCTATTATGAAGCTTTTTAGTTTGATACCATCCCTTTTATTGATTTTTGATTTTACTTCTTGCACTTTAGGGGTCTTGTTAAGGAAGTCGGTTATAAACAAGTAACAAATGTTGGTGAGGTTGTAGGGGGAAGGGTATACTCATACATTGTTGGTGGGACTGTAAATTAATGCAGTCACTCTGGAAAGCAGTATGATGGAGATGCCTCAAAAAACTAGGAATGAAACCACCATTTGATCCAGTTATACCAAAGGAGTTAAAATCAGCATCCTACAGTGATGCAGCCACATCAATGTTCATAGCAGCACAGTTCACAGTAACTAAGTTATGGAACCAACCTAGTTGCCCATCAACAGATGAATGGATAAAAAAAAAATGTGGTATATATACACAATGGAATATTACACATAAAGAAGAATGACTTCATGACCTATGCCAGTTAATGGATGGATCTGGAGACTATCATGCTTAGTGAAAAAAGCCAATCCCAAAAAATAAAAGGTTGAATGTTTTCTCTGATGCTAACCCACAGTAAGGGGGTAGGGAGAGAATAGAAATTCAGTGAATCAGGTCAAGGGGAATGAAGAGAAGAGAAGGAAGTTGGAAATCTTCCCTCTGGAATGAATCTGACATAACTCATGAATGTACTACGGTGAATCTCACCACTGTATATCCACAAGACTGGGAATCTTAATTAGAATAAGATATATTTCACACTTGTGTAAATATATCAAAATATATTTTTTTATGAATGACAGTAGAATCTATCAAAATAGATTCTACTGTCATTCATAAAAAAATAYAATTAGGACCTTCAAGGGATTTTTTTCTTCATAGACTGCCTTTCTTCTTTTGATTTATTTCACATGCATTACATGATGAATTTTTTTCTTATACTTTTAGGGGTTTCTTTATAATATTTATGAAAATTTAAAGCTTTGGGGAAAGTGGGGTTGTACATTTTTAATGTATGTTGTTAAGTTCTTTAAAAATAGATTGAAGGGGCTGGGGCTATAGCTCAGTGGTAGAGTACTTGCCTAGCGTGGGGCACTGGGTTCCATTCTCGGCACCACATATAAATAAGTAAAATAAAGGTCCATTGACAACTAAAAAAACATTAAAAAAAAAAAAACAAAAACAGATTGAAATCCTCAAAGTGAAAAGGCTTGTTTTGGTGAACATCTTTTAATAATTGACATTATTAAGAGTTATGAGTAGAGTAGTGATAATGATGATAAAATTGTTCAAAGCACTGATAGGTTTTACTTGCAAAATTACATTTGCCTGAGACTTGAGTCCTTGTAACATTGTCTTGTTTGTCACCACAATTCATTTAAATTAGTAAAGACAACATTTTCATGGACAGTGAAGAAAACTTAAGGAAATCTGTGTGAAAAGTAATAATCTGAATTTGTATCTCTTTGTAGTTTGCTAAAATACATTGTAATCATTTCTTGATTTTAAAGTTGATCTTGAAATTGTCCTTTCAATGTCTTTTTCTAGGATAGATTCACAAGACTATTTCCCTAGTGTGGAGCTACCTTGGGTAAGAGTATGTCGTCCATCTTGCCTTTCACTCCGCCAGTGGTGAAGAGACTGCTGGGATGGAAGAAATCTGCTGGTGGGTCTGGAGGAGCAGGAGGAGGAGAGCAGAATGGACAGGAAGAAAAGTGGTGTGAGAAAGCAGTGAAAAGTCTGGTGAAGAAGCTAAAGAAAACAGGACGATTAGATGAGCTTGAGAAAGCTATCACCACTCAAAATTGTAATACTAAATGTGTTACCATACCAAGGTAAGTGTTGTAGATCTGAAGTTTGATGGTCTCTTGTTGAAAATTGCTTTTGGGAACCTGAAGGAAAGTTATTGAATTTTCGTTCAAGTTACTGAATTTTTGTCAAGTCACCTCTAAATAGTGATTATTAAAATATGACTGTTTTTAACCTGTCATATTTTATTTTACTTGTGAAGTCTCTTTATTTTACAAATCATTTTCTTGAACAGTGAGGTTTAGTCATACAAGACTTAAGATATATGTAGTAAATTTTCATTGCCTAAATTTGTGTGATATCCTCATTTCTGTGGTTGGATATTTGAATAAAGATTCAAAGCTCTTTCTATTTCTAGCAAATGATAACTGATAGTTTTCTCCTCCCTTGGTCAAAACTTCAGTCAGTAAAGAGTTAAAGGAGGCTGCTGACTTTTTAAATGAATTTTATATAGTTTTTGCTTGAGTTGCAACATTCCTGCCAAGAAAGAACAGTATATGAGGCAGCTCCTTAAATGTTGTATGTAATAATGAGACTTCGTCTTGAAGTCTTTTATATTGGAAAAACCTATTACTTAAAAGGTTGAGGTTTTGAATGTAAATTTAATCATTTACAAATAAGTACCACTGTTAGAAGTTGTTGTTGTTGTTTTTTTTTTGAATTAAGTGGCAGGTATTTTAAAAATATTTCAATACTTTATATATTTTTTTKTGTGTGTCAAAAATATAAAATTTTCTAAAATGATTGTTTTCAGTGTCGTGTGTGAGCATATAGTGTGTGAAACTGTTCTACTTGACTTGCTTCCAGAGAGCTTTGAGAAAATACTCCTGATGCTTGTAGATAATAAATCCCAGTAACACCAGCCTGTCTGCTTGCAGATRCTCACGGTAGACTATTTTCCTGCCTTGTTTGGTTGACTAACTGTCCATTGCTTCTTCTTTACTTGTTTCGTGTATATCTTATATACGTCATTGGTCTTGGTTTATTCTTCTGTTTTACAAATACTTATGGATCGTCTGCTGAATGCAAGGCACTGTTTCCAGTCACTGGGGATACAGTAATGAACAAAACACATCCCTTCCCTCCTAGGGGACAGATACACACACTAAACAAGTGAACAAATTAATATAATTTGACATGGTAATGAGGGCAAAGAAGACAGTATGTGCAATGTGATACGATAGAGAATGCCTAAGGGATGGTAAAGCTGCCTTGGCTGGATGGTGGTTCATAAGCTGAGCTCTGAGGAGCAGCCGCTCCTTGAGAAGTCTTCTAGGCAGAGGAAAGAGCCTGAGTAAAGACCCTCTGGTGGGAAATAGCTTTTTGTATTAAAGATTTTAAAAGGAAGTGGAGTGTAAAACTTGGAAAGAGTTTGATCATATAGGGAGTTCAGATGTTGGTCTAAATAGAGAAGGCAACTAAAAATTTCTTAATAGATTTTAATCTTTTTTTAAAGAATTTCAGCAGTTCCTTTTTAACCAAAATCACTGATCCCTGGAGATAAATGCTGGGGGTGGGATGTRTGTAGTGAGGTGGATGGAAGCAGGCAATTAGGATGATGGTGGAGGCTGGACTGGCATGGCTGTACTACCACTAAATGAATGGATTTGGCAGGTAATTTGGAAGCCGAGCTGACAGGACTTGATGGTGAATTGCCTAAGAATGAATCTGGTTGTATTTGCTGAGTATTCATTGTGTAGGAGATGGTCATTCACCATTCACATATCAAATGCCCACTGCATGGCTGATATGATTTTCCTCACCAAACTCAAATTTGCTCTTGAATTGCTTGCCTTCTAGTAAGGGAAATAAACTTTAAAAAAGAAATCTTCTGAGTTTTGGTAGGTGTCATAAAAGAAAAATGCTCAGGGAGTTATGTATAGAGGAGGCTTGGGAAGCTTGCCTTCTGGGAGAATATTGTGCCTGAGTTGAATCTAGATGGTATAGAGGCAGAATTAGTCAGGAGAAGCCTGTTGGCTCAAGTGCATCACTGTGTAATTTGGAAGTAGGGGGAGTTGGTGAAAGTTTCTCAGCAAACAGGTGTCCTTAGAATGTCAGTGAGGAGTAGCAGGTGGCAGAGATGACTCTAAAAGATAGTTAGGAATCCCAGCAGGCTGTGCGAGGAAGTTTACACTCAACCTGAATGGGATTGGTGAGGGTGGAGTCATTGGAATCTTAGGTCCAGAAAGCCCAGAAGTCAGATTAATTTACTACAGCATCAGACTGTAGTGAAAAAATGGATTCTGAGACAGTCACAAGGGGAAGTGATAGGAGCCCAGTAAGTGGATTGTCACCTCATCAAAAGGAGATGGAGTGTGGTTTTGCACATCTTCATCCAAGGCTTGTATTGCCATTGCGTGATGAGTTTCACAGAGGAGCTCGAGAGTAGAGCTGTTTTCAAGGAGATACAGCAGGTAGTGAGTGGCCTGACGGTTACCAGTGACTATAGGTGTATATATGCTATGGAAATCACTCTAGGTTCATTAAGTTTTCTTATTTTCTGTTCTTTTTATAGCTCTGGGGATTTCTTTTCATATTTTTTAAAAATAGTTTTTAGTTATAGATGGACCCAGTAGCTTTCTTTATTTTTATGTGGTGCTGAGGATTGAACCCAGTGCCTCACAGGTGCAAGGGAAGTGCTCTACCACTGAGCTTCAGCCCCAAGCCCATCTTTTCATATTTTTATAGCTTCTTTATCATTAGACTTTTTTTTCCCTCTAGCCTTTTATCTGATAAATGAAAGTGAAGTGATGGCTGTTCATTACCAAAAGGGTTTTTTTTTTTTTAAATTAAGAAGCTTGTTTATCTCTTTTGATGTGTGTTGGTGTTTTTTAAAATGTAGATTTGTTAGAGTTAATTGTAGTCTGTTTGTCAAAAACTGTTAGCTTGCCCTAAGGTGTAGTCATTCACGTCTATAATTCCAGCTTCTTGCAATGCCAAGGCAAGAGAATCACAAGTTCAAAGCCAGCCTAGGCAACTTAGACCTTGTGTCAAAGTAAATAGGCTGAGGATGGAACTCAGTGGTAGAACACTTGCCTGGCATGTGGGAGGCCTTGCATTCTGGTGATTGAACTGCTTTTCCTCCTTTCCACCCTGTTAATTGCTGTGTCTTACAACTTTTTAATAGAACAGTTATTATTTATTCCTTAACCACTAAATAATATTCTTAAACATAATACATTTTAGATGACATTTAGGCAACTCTTAGAATATAAAAAATGTAGAATATAAAAAACATGGGTAGTGGGAGGGGGGAAATTTTTTTTTTTTTTATGGGTAAGTTCAAACCTTAGTTTAAATAAAACTATTTTAAATGGATTACMAAAATGGATTTGGTGAAGCTCATTTACTTAAAATTATAAGGTGATAATAAAATTCATTACAATTGTATAAATCTAAAAATATATTCAGTTGGTGAAGAACACAAGAAATCAATTAATGGATTTAAAAAATAACAAGTGTTTTCAGCTAAAATACTTGTTTTGTTGTCTTTTAGTGGTTTCCTCCCTTGTGCCCTCTGCCCCACTAATATTAGGGTGGGATTAAAGTTAGAGCCCAAAGATCTTGCTATTAACTTTAAGCTCCTCCCATTCCCCTCACCTAATTACTCTGCTGCCTCTGGAGGTTTGGAAGCTGTAGTTAGATGTATATCACTACTGCTTCCTTCCTGCMATTGTGTTTGGTGACACAAAGCATTTCAGTGGTAGAACTTAGCCTGTGTAAGGTGCAATGGACTCAATAATAACATAAGGTTTCATGAAGCTTTTCCATTTCAGTATTTTTAAGACTGAGGAAAAGGGAGACAACTTAGTTATAAAATCAGAATGGTAGTTGATATTTAGTAAAGAATCAGACATAAGAAAAAAAAGGCTTTCAAAACATATTAGTTACAATAATGCAAAATCAAAACTTGTTAGGGATGGAGTTGTATAAAAATTTAAAGCACGTTACTCTGGGGCCTAAATACAGTTTTATAATTACTGTACATTATAGAAATATAGAATTTATCATTTTCATAAACTATTACAGGGGCTTTCCTAAGGTGATGCTTTGAGCATGTAGTCACACTTTTTATCTCTTATCTTAAGGATATCAGACAATTGGTCAACGATTTCTGATATTCTTTCAGTATTGTATACAATAGCAAATTATTACCAAACAAACTCTTCACCCAATCCTGACCCTTAGTTTTCTTAACTAATAATAAGGAAAACTTAGCCCAATTCATTTTATACCACGGTTAAACAAGAATAGTAAAAGAAAAATTTCTACCAATCTCACTTGTATAAATAGATGCAAAAGTTATAACTGTCAGAAGCTGTGATTTAGTGGTTTATGAAAAAACCAAAAACATAACTAGGTGAAGTTTATTGCCAGCTTTCAAAGTTGATTCAACTGCAAGAAATCTATTAATATAAGGTGCTGTATTCATATTTTAGAACATAATGATCTTGAATCTAGAAGGTTTTAATTCATTATTCATGTTAAAAATCAGAAATAGGAATTTTCTTAGTTTGATAAAGATACGTCTAAAAATATTACTCTTAATCATGGAACTTGAGTGAGAAATATGCCAAATTGTTAATAGTGGTTATTTATGGATGACCTCAAAAAGTGATAACCTRTAGTTTTCCCCTAATATTTATATGTAAAAGCATGTCTTGTTTTAATTCCAGCACAATTAAATTTTTATATAGAATTAGGGGCATTTTGATTTTTGTCAACTTAAGATAAAGGTTTTTACTTCTTGTATTCTTTGAAGTCAGTTTTTCTGTTAAAGGACAATTCTGTTTCCATTTTCTTAGTGTCMTTTTAAAAAATACGTTTGAGTATTTTTGCCTTCAAAAATTATTTACTTAAAAACATAAAATGGTGTGTGTACATGAYGGGAAAATCAGCCACAGAAGATACAGTAGGAAAATAAGTATTGTTCTTATCCCTGYTCTCTTGTCACCCAGTTTTTTCTTCTCAGTCATAGCTAGCTTGTAGTATTACTGATGTCTCATGTGCCCTTCCAGGATGATTT